CAATTTTATATAAATGGAATTAGACAGTATTAGGACATTTGAATCTGACATATTCACTTAACATAATGTTTTTGAGATCCACCATGTTGTATAATAGTTCATTCTTTTAATTGCTCAGTAGTATTCCACTGAATGGCTATACCACAGTTGGTTGACTATCAGAGAGCATCTGGATTATTTTTACTGTGGTGTGATAAAGAACAAAGCTGTTGTACACATTCATGTACAGGTTTTTATTTCACTTGGGCAAATACATGAGAGTGGAATTGGAATTGCTAGAAGTATGTATTCAACTTTATGAGAAAATGCCAAACTATTTTTCAAAACACTTGCACCATTTTGCATTTCCACCAGCAACAAATAAGAGCTGAGTTCCTGTGCACCGTTGTCAACCCTCAGTAGTATTAGGGTTTCTTTGTTGTTGTTTCTGATTTTTGCTTTAGCTGTTTGAATATGTTTAGTGAGATAGTAGTAACTTGTTGTGGATTTAATTGGCATTTCTCTAATGACTAATGTTGTTGAGTATCTTTTCATTGGTTTATTTGTAATCCAAAATATTTTCTTCAGTGAAGTGTCTGTTCATCCTTTGCTTATTTTTAAATGGGGTTGTTGACTTTTTAGTATTGAGTTTTCAGAATTTTTTAAATATTCTGAATGCAAGTCTTTTATCAGATGAGTTTTGCAAACATTCTCTTTCAGTGTGTAGCTTTTCATTCTTTTACCTTATCTTTTGAAGAGCAAAAGTTCTAAGTTCTGAGGAAGTCCAAATGCATCAATTTTTCCTTTTACGTATCATTCCTTTGGTGTCACACCTAAGAAATCTCTGCCTAATCAAAGGTCACAAAGATTTCCCATATTTTCTTCTATTACTTTTATAATTTTGGCACTTATGTTTAAGTCCAAGATCCACTGTGAGTTACTTTTCAATATGGGGCAAGGTGTAGCTCAAGCTTCTTTTTATTTATTTTTTATCTTTTTCATATAGATACCTGAAAGGACTATCCTCTCTCCACTGAATTTCAATTGCACCTTTAAAATCAATAGACCATATATTTGTGGGTCTATTTCTTTTTGTATATAATTTTGTTGAGACATAATTCACATATCATATAATTCACCCATTCAAAGTGTACAACTCAGGGGTCCTAATATATTCACAAGTTGTGTAGTCATTACCACAATCAATTTCAGAACTTCCATCACCCCAAAAAGAAACCCTGTACCCATTAGCAATCATTTCCCATTTCCCCTAACCCCAGTTCTGGACAACTAATCTACTTCCTATCTCTAAAAATTTGCCTGTTCTAGACACTTCATATAAATGGATTCATATAATTGGTCTTTTCTGACTTGCTTTTCTTAAATAGATTAATGTTTACAAGGGTTATGCATGTTATAGATGTACCAGCACTTCACCTTTTATAGCTAATAATCCATTTATGGATACAACACATTTTATTTATCCATTCATCACTTCATGGTCATTTGTGTTGGTGTTGGCTCCACTTTTTGGCTATTATGAATAATGATAACATGAACATTAGTGTACAAACTTTTGTGTGTACATATGCTTTCATTTCTCTTAGGTATATAACTAGAAGTAGATTTCAATTTCATATTGGAATTCTATTTAACCTTTTGAGGAACTGCCACAATGTTTTCCAAAGTGGCTGCACCATTTTACATTCCCATTAGCAGAGTGAGAGGATTTCAGTTTCTCTACATCCTTGCCAATACTCATTATTTTTTTTTTATAATACGCATCTTAGTGGATGTGGTATCTCATTGTGGTTTTGATTTGCATTTCTCTGATGACAAATGATATTGAGTACCTTTTCATGTGTTAGCTGGCCATTTACATTATCTTCTTTGAAGAAACATCTATTTAGTTGACTCTATTTCTGAATTCTCTATTCTCACAGGCCTTTGTTTCTTATTATCAATAATGTCTTATTTACTGTAGCTTTATGGTAATCCCTGAAATCAGGTAGTGTAAGTCTCCCAAGTTCATTTCCAATATTGTTTTCTACTCTAGTTACTTTGTCTTTCTATATAAATTTTAGAGTCAGCTTGTCAGTTGCTACCAAAAAAAAACATCTGCTAGGATTTTTATTGAAATTGCTGTGATTCTATACTTACAGTATGGGGAGAATTTAAATCTTAACAATAGTGAGTCTTTCATTCCATGAACATGGTATATTTCTCCATTTATTTAGGTCTTCTTTGATTTCCTTCATTACTATTTTCTAGTTTTTCAATGTACAGATCCAGGATATAATATGTACAATTTCTACCTAAATATTTCAATTTTTGTCTTGTCCATTTGTATGTTTTTAAATTTTTTTCCAATTTTTCATTGCTAGCATATAGAAATAAGATTGATTTTCACATATTTACTTTGTATCCTACAACCTGGCAAAAACTCACTTAATTTCCAGATTTAGTTCAGCCAATGAATAATGATGTATGATTGAAAAGTAGAAGGAAAAAAATTTAATTACCAACAGTAGCTATACCACAACTCCTGAGAAATATTAAAAGCAGTCAGGCTTTCTATGAAGTACTAATCTCTTTACAAAGACCAATCATATAGTGTTCTCTCATCAGCTCAAAGGTCTGGTATTTCTTCAGAAGTGAAGAACTAACCAAATGATCCCTCCTTGTTAGATCTCTCTAAACTGTAGCTGTTCTGAGCACCTTCAGAAGCCTTAGTAATCAATTGTGCAGCCCTCTAATTTAGAGGTCTGTGCACCAAGAACTCACAAGAGCTTCACTGAGTTCTTGGATTCCAGTAACAATATTTTTTCCATTTCTTTCCTCTAGTCCTAGAGGTTACAGCTGCTTCCTACTATTTGGATTATTTCAATGTCCCCTGTCTTTCAGCCTTCCCACACACTATAAACCCATCACCTGCGTTAATACCCTTCTGATGGAAACGCCTAGCATGGCTTCTATTTTCCAGCCTGGATTCTGACTAACAATCTTCTTCCTCTGATGAGCACCCCTTTCCCACTCCCAACCCCTAACTGTCCTATAATATTCTATTAACTAATGAAAAAGATTCTCACCTTGACCAAACTACTCAGGCACCCTCTACTTTCTTCTCTAATAGGCCCGGACTCCTAAGTTTTTACCTCTGCAGTGTCCAATTTTGGCAAGAGTCCTATTGAGTTGGTTTAGCTAGCATCCCCCATCCTCAATATCTGAACACCCTCAATTTCTAATTGAGTTCCTCATCTTTCACCATCACCAGCTGATGTCTGATTATCCTAATCTGCCATCAGCAAGAATCCATGTTAGGTGAGTTTAGCTAGGATCCCCCCATAATCTCTCATGTTACCTCTCAGTAATTTTCCATCCACTGACCTCCACCCTGCCTCTTGGCTATAAAATCCCATTTTGCTTTGCTGTATATCTAGAGTTGAGCCCAATCTCTCTCCCTACTGCAAAACCCCAATTCAGTGGTCTGTATACCCATCATAATAGTCCTCCCTTGAATAAAGTCTTCTTTACCATCTTTAACAAATGTCATGACTAATCATGCTTTAACACTAACTCAGGGCCATCTAAAATGGAAATTGTTCTTCTTAAAATAAAAGGACCAGTAACACTAAATGAAACCAGTAAAAATGAGATAAATCTAGATAGGTGAACAGGTAACAATACTCACAGGAATCATTCAGCTTCTAGATATAGTGTAGGGAAAAATGTGAAAGATTCTTGATATGGGCTAAAAGGATTACTGAACAACCTTTCAATGAAAACTGGAGCTTCTGGGAATTACCTGATACCATAGGGGTGTGTGCCCTTGTCTTTGACTAAGCTAATTCTAACAGATAGAAGATGAGGTATAGAAAACTATTAATAATGCAAAATATTTTTGTCCCTAGCTATGCAAATGATCCTATTTCTTGGCAATGCAAATGAGTTGCAGGAAAAGAATACAAATCTCTAAATCAAATTCTCATTTTGATTGGTTCTAATATCTTACTTTAATATCCATTAATTTATGAGTTTAACTCTCTGAGATGTGTTCATTTTATATTTATATGTATAAGATAAAATTAAATTTTCTTTGTTTAATAAAGGGGAGGCAGCTGGCCCTCCATTCCTCCTACGGTATCTCCATAAATATAAGCTGAACACTTTGGTTAGGAATTTAATAAACCTAGTCTCCAGATTTTACAAGAGAAGTCATGAGCCTTCTAACATGGAACTATAAATGTGTATCTCCTAAATTAACTCAGGAGTCTCTCAATATATGTACTGGAGATTATCATAAGGAGTATTTATCTGTCTCTTAAGAAGATAAAAAGAAGTTTTAATTGTTCATTCACCTACTTTACTGTATAAAATCTGTGAAACTCTGCCCAGACTCTGTTATTATTCCTGGATTACCTGCATGCATGGTATTTGGTATACATACTTAATAATATATTGTGTTTTCTAAATGTCTATACTGGTACAGCTGAGTTTCTTTGTTGGCAAGATTTTAAAATTTTACTAACATATAATAGTCATGACTATCTTTATTAAAACTTACTTATATATAAACAGAGTACCATTTTTTGTAGTTCCAGATAAAATATCCCAAAATATAAAATAATAGTTTTTAGAAAGAATATAACCGGCTGAGTTATAGCTTATAATAAGTGGTGAAATGAATAAATCTAAGCTCTACAGACCCTTTTAATAGACTTACTAGAGAAAGGAAATGTGATACTTTAACAATAGACATATACATGTACTGGTAATGATGCAGAAAATTGACTACTCTGAGCAAAATCATGTCTGAGTAAAATAATAAGGTAAATGTATCTCCCAAAGATAAGTTGTGGAAGACCTAGCCAAACACAGAGTATCTATGAACTATTTTTAACTTTCATGTTTTAAAGTATTAACATATTATTATAAAGATATATAAACACAAAGATTTTAATGAAACAAATTAATCAACTATATAAATACATAGTTTTTCAATAAGAAAAATAAATTTTTACCATCTTCCTAGCAGTTCTCCCCAGGAATACAGGATTTTCTCAGGACAATCCTTAGATACATCTCCTGTTCCACTTGAGAGTTCATTATCACTCTCTGCAGGAGAAATATAAAAACATATGTTATATTTGATATTTATATATTATAGAACCAGAAACATGACTATATATCTAATAAAAAGCAATACCTCTGCTTATATTACACCCACTGCAACAAAAACTTCATTAACAATTTATTTTTAATGCTAGATATTTTCATAGTATAAACTTATGAAAATTCTTACCCATGATTTACAAACTATGAAATTGAAAATCAATAGCTTTATCTAAATTGAGTAAAATTGTAAAACTAATGGTAACACAAATTAGAAATGGTAACAAAATGGTAGCACAATTAAAAATTCCTAAATGAGGCTCTACTCACCAGATTAATATTCTCAGCATTATTATTTTATTAGTGAGCCAACAAGTACAAAAATTGAGTCAGATTTTATGTATACATACACATATGTAAACATATAATATGTAAATGATACACACAACTAGAAATCTTTAAAACAAAATTGAGGTTTTAAGGATATATTCATAAGCACAAGATATTTTTGACTAAAGGAAAGATGAAACTATTTGGCCTTTTAAAATGACAACTTCATAAAACATCCCAAAATGTATAATAATAACTTTAGAAGGAATAAAATATGATGAGTTACAGTTTACAATCAGTGATGAAAATGAGTAATTCTGAACTATAAATCTTTTAAGTGGTAACAGAGTTGATAGAGACAGGAAATGCAATATGCACAATTTATTTTATTTATATAGCAAAGCCTTTGACACAATACTACACAGAAAAGGCTAGAGAAGTATTGTCTGTGTGATAAAATGAGCTAGATAAAAATTGGTGGATAGTAAGTAGGAAGGTTTAACCAATGCTGTTACAGTACAATACAGTACAGTAAGGACTGGAATTAAGTGAGTCTCACAGGGATCTATGTTAAGAACATTATTACTTAGCATACTACTAATTGAATGATCCAAGTATAAACTAGTTCATATCAGTGGATATATTCAACACCAAAACACAATGTAATAAATAAAGGTTCATTTAGCGATATTAAAAGATTTGGTCATACACATGTAAAAAGATTTTATCCGGTATTCAGCAAAATATAACCAAAGCATAAGCACATACAAAGGCAAATGCTTCAACATCTTTAGGATCATCAATAGATGAATGGACAAAGAAGACATGGTACATATACACAATGGAGTATTACTCAGCCATAAAACAGAAAGAAATCCTGCCATTTGTGACAACATGGATGGACCTAGAGGATATTATGCTCAGGGAATAAGATAGGCAGAGAAAGACAAAACCATATAATTTCACTTACATGTGGAATCTAAAAATAAAGCAAAAAATAGCAGTAGACTCACATACACTGAGAAGTGACTGGTGGTTACCATGTGGGAGGGGTTGGGGTAGGTGAGTAGGGAGACTGAGGGGGATAAAGAGGTACAAAAAAATTCTCAATCATAATATAAGTTGGTCACAGGGATGGTAGTACAGCATGGAGAATATAGCCAATGATTCTGTAACATCTTTCTATGTTGACAGATAATAACTGCACTAGTGGGGGAAGGATTTAATACGGGTAACTGTTGAACTACTGTGTTGTATACTTTAAACCAATATAAGATTGCAAATCTTCAATTAAAAAAAATTATGTGAATTCACATAATCACAGCCAACAGACAAATCTACAAGTGCATAGGAGTATATGTGAATGTTCATGAATAGATATATCAAAGATTCCTATTTTTATAATTCATAAACTTTTATGTCTAGATAGATACAAATACAATGTAATGCTTCAGGCATTATTAATGTAATTTGCATGATAATAATTTATATCATTTGAGAATGATAATTTGCAGAGACCATTTACACAGACTAAAAATGTATGCATTAAAGTGCGGTGCTTCTGAAGAGAATCCTTTTTTTTCATTCTGGAGAAAATAATGTGCTCTTTTACTTAACTATTTATTCCCCTATGACTCAAGGGAACCTATGACTTGAATGTATTTTCTTGTAGATATTTTAAATAATATACTATAAAAACATATAGTAAATTCAAATTTAATTAAATTAGGAACTATTTAAGAATGCAGCATTTAGACAATTCTCTTCTTGAAATTTTAGTGAGCTTCAAATTCGTATGTTTTTGCCTTTTCTTAAATAAAACATCATCCACCATGTAATTGGAAAATAAAAACTTACATATAAAAAAAATGAACAAAAGAACAGTAGACTCATAGACAATGAGAAATGACTGGTGGTTACCATTAGGGAGGGGTTCAGGTGGGTCAGTAAAGGGGATAAAGATGCACAAAATCCCAATCATAATAAAAGTTGGTCATGAGGATGAAGTGCAGCATGGAGAATATAGTCAATATTTCTGTAACATCTTCCTATGTTGACAGATAGTAACTGTACTAGTTGGGGTGAGGATTTAATAATGTGTATAACTTGTTAAATCACTGTGTTATATACTTGGAACCAATATTAGATTACATATCAAGTATACTTCAATTTTTAAAAATCTAAAAAATATTTTGGATGACACCAGATAAAGAAGAATTATGGGGGATATTTTATTCACAAACTGAACATTATTCTGGATACTGGGGTAAAGTTCAGGAGGGCAGACACTAACATCACTGCTCTAGAAATATCACACATAAGTAACTCTCAGCTTGGCAGCAAGTTCATCATAAAAATAATAAAAATGAGAGATTTTCAAAAAGCCAAAGCAAATGAAGTAAATTACTAAGTATCAGAGGAATAATATAAACAGAAACAAATGTAGCTTTAATACTAAAATATCCTAAAGAAGTATCCCATATAAACAACTATTCTTATAATACTTAGAATGTTTCATCTAAACGGAGGCACTTTTGAGAGTTCAAGGACACTCTTAAAGTTACACTGGAAAACAGGTTAAACTTACACTATCTCAAGCAAACTAGGAGTGCTGGTCACTCTCCTTATAAATTAGTACCAGGTACAATATAAGTACTTATAATATACATTGGTATTCAATTAAGTAGGGTCTAAGATGGTCCCACTTTATACTCTATTTTGCTCCACTGTAAATAATAATATGCCAACATTCAAAGTATTTGATGAAGTTTTACATGCTAAGTGGGAGGACAAAATTTAAGAACACAATGAGAAGTTGAAAGAAAAAGGAAACAAACACTATTCGACATCATTATTCTTAATTGTAATAAAAATCATAAAGTACAACTGGTAAGACTCTTTAAGATTCTTATTCTTTTTGGGAAAGGAATCTCTAAGCATGAAACAAAACTAAGATGCCATAGAAAGACTGAGAAATCTGATGAATAATGATATCTAGTGTTGATAAAAGCATGGGGCCACAGGGAAGAAGACTGATGTTTAAATAAGAGCAATCTTTTTTAATTTATTAAGATTCAAAATTAATATACCATTTGATCCAACAACTCCACTTGTAGAAATTTATTCTCCAGAAATACATATCCAAAGAGAAAAACGTAAAAGGATTTTCATCACATCACTTCTTGTAATAGCAAGACATTAAATTAATAGGAATTCATGGTCTAACCATTCAAAAGAATACTACCTATTAGTTTAAAAGAACTGGTAAATCTTCATGTTAATATGAAAAACACCCAAAATATATTATTTTACTATGAAAAGCAAGAAAGAAAAGAATAATTTTAAGCATGGTTTTATTTTAGTAAATAATACTACTTATATGATTATAAGACTAAAAATAACTGTAAGATTATATACTAAACTATTAATAGCGATTATGTTTTGGCAGCTAACCATCTTATCACATGGTAAACAATAAATATTTAGGGAATGCATCTTTTACTTTTAAGCTTCACATTTCTGTAATATTCTAATATTTTATAATAAGTACATAATTATAAACATGGGGAAAGGATTTTTATCTTTTAAATAATCCCTATTGCTACATGAAACAAAAATCTATTATTGTAAACCCCTACTAATATGCCATAAAATCATCACTGATAGCAACAATGTATTGTGTCTTCCTAACAATCCCCTATTATTTTCCACCACAAAAAGACATCAGAACTGTAAAAACCTAGATTAGCAGAGGACAGCGACAAGGAGAAGGGAAGAAAACAGGTGCCCTCAAGAAAAGAGCCCTGATGAAAACTAAAGCACAAACAACAGCAAGTCAGGGACCAAATACTGATGAAAAATAGGATGTAGCTGAGGCAGATAGGAATCCCAGGATTTTCTGCCTTTTTAATCTATATTCCAGTCAGTATGCACTAAATTTTACAAACAATAACTCATTTTATCCTCTAAACAACCCAATGAGAAAGTCACTACTAGTTTGCCACTTTAAAAAATGAGAAAGTTGAGGCACAGAGATGTTAAGTAACTTGTCCTAGGTTACCCTGCTAATACTGATAGAATTCACTCAGTTTGAATCCCGTCAAATACTACCTTGCCTTATAGTTTTTCCTATCATGTTTTTTTTTAGGAGGCTGTGCTTGGCATTTAATAAGTGCCACTATCCAGTAAATTCTGGGAACCAGAGCCAAGAAAAGCCAAATGCCTTTAAAGCAATATGTCAAAGAAACACTACATTGGGAGCAACAGATTTAATAGAGACGTTTCAGGGGTGTAATTCCCCTTAACGCTCAGGAGAATAAAAATGAAACTGATACTCCAATGACTTCAATAGTGTGGGCCAGATCTTTCTTGCTTGCTTCAGAAACTACTGACCATGAATGTTTTAAGTACTTATTGGCCATCCTACTACACACAGAGAAAGGAACTGAAGGAAAGGAAAGTTTTAACTATACTTTAATAAGACAGAGTCTCTACATAGGATGAAAGAAATAAGAATTAAAATGATACTGGAGACCCAAATGCAGCAAAAATAAATAAATATTGAGGAGGTTAGCAAGTAGAACATGACAAAGGAAAAAAGAAAGAACAGAACCAAGCAGGTATGTAAAAGGGCACCTCAGGTTTTGAAAAACCAACTGTACCCCATTCTACAT